TCATTACGGCACTTGGAATTCTACCTAGTCATTGTCAGCGTAGAGAGGCTGCTGAAAACATCTTTGCAACCGAATTGAATAGTTTAAGAAAAAAGAATAAATCAATGGACAACACATTAAAATCAATAGCTCATTCTGCGCTCGTCTTTACTGAACAATCTATAAAAATATCGAAAACAAACTAAACACTTAAAGAAAAACTGATGTCCGTTTGTGTGCAACGAAAACGAGACAAATGATGAACGACTCAAGAAACTAACGACCATCTGCCGGGGTTCTTTTTTTTCACTTCTTCTTTATGACATAACAATTTGAAAGGATACGTCCAATACAAGGCAACTAATGATGGGGCTTTTGATCCATTTCGGTTTATCAGTTATTAAATGTAATCAATGACTGGCACCATTAAAATACGTATACGGTAATCAATGGCACTCAAAAGGAGTCAGAAGTCATTGAAACTAGTCGATTCAGCGACCATAATCAATCCTTTGGCTCGCCTTTCGATTCATTCCAATTTTCCGTTTCAAACCACCTAATCTCATTTAATGCGGATCTGATTTCGTTTCGCCGCATCGATTATTGTGTATGCGTGTATTTTGATTGTTATGCTGCCACATGTTGTTCTCGCTTCGATATTTGTATTCATCGAATTGAATCGATGAAGAGAAAAACAGCTACAACACCAGGTGCATATTGTTATGTTGTGTGTTTTGGGCTTATCTTATTTATTAAGAGTATTTTTTGTTGTTGTTGTTTTTGTTGAAACAAATATATTCATCCTTTCCCATTGGTAAAAAAAAATCACCGACCCGAAGCTGATTTTTATCCCAATTTCACCTTTGCAAAAAAAAATATCAAAACACCAGGCAATCGAAGCAAATTTCGACAATTATTGTCAAAGAATGAACGAAATGCATATTCAGTTCTACGGCATTTGCACTTCAAAACTAAATTAATGATAACTTCGTGAGTGTCTGTTGCTCTTTGCATTGAGTAATATTTGTGTTCACCTGCCTTCAAAATTGAGTGCCGGCAACTAGATGAAATGATTAACAACAAAGTTCAACAATCCACATATCTTTTGTTTTAATACATTGAACCGCACAACGCCCATTAAGAATATGCGGTGGATGTGTGTGTTTATGTATGTTTATGCCTTTGATTCAGGTGTTAATTGCATTTAATGGCAATCGTAAACACTTTCCGGATCAAATTGAGCAACCGTTTTGGAATACCGGTGCGATTTGGTTCGTTCATGCATTTGGTGCGCATGCAAATCTGTTCACCAGTACAGGTAAACATTCAAAATATTTTAATAATAATATAAATGATTAAAAATGTATTTTGGGAAGCACTAGAACCAAAAACGGTGTTTTTGGGAGTTTGAAAATTGTGAAGAATTGATTTTGATATGCTTTTGGCCCATGCATTTCCTTTCTATTTGATTATTATTTAGATATTGCACATTACACACAAAAGACATAACAATGAAACCAAATACACATACACATTCCAGTCTTTTTTTGTTATTCGAATCGAAAAACGAAATCTATTGATATTGTAGTGAATAAAAAAAGATTTGCCAGAACGAAAAACGAGATCGAGAGAATGAAAACGCATTTATTGAAAGAGAATCGTCAAACTTGCATGCACAAAGACGAGAGAACAACAGACAAAGAATAATGACCGAGAGAAGAAGAAAAAGTGAGAAACGGAGCAGAGAACGAAAATAGGAACCAAGGATTTAATGTGCACATTACAAGGACTCTCTGGTGAATATCTATTTTCTCTATTGCACCGATATTCGGTGTCGGTATTGTAATGTCAAACATTCAAACAGCTGCTACTGCTGTGCTTATGTGTCGCACATTCAATCCCGAGCTCAATGTTTTCGATTTTTTTCATCTCTCGATTCATTTCCATTTGCCGTGTGTGCGTGTGTGTCTGTGTGCTTTCTGGTTTTTTGTTGTCTCAATATCTCAAAGAGTATTCTTGTCGTTTCATTTCTCTCCTTCCAATCTCTGTCGGGTGTTGGTTTCCAGACTTGAAAATGCGCCAATGGACACATGTTCAACATTTAAAGCGTGCAAGTTCTTCGAATATTTCATTCGAGTTGAAAATACTCTTTTTTATCGCTCTGATTTCAATTTGTTAGACGAATTCTTCTATCTGTTCGATGCAACGGCAGCAAACGGCACCAGGCGTTAAATGCAATTTATCATTGGTCGACACAGCACACAATGTGTTTGGTTTTTGGAATGCACAGTGCAATGCAATCAATGTCAACAGATCGAATTACGGAATGTGCACGAAACGACGGTCAAATGTGACATTCGCCAGATATTTCAACATCGCAAAAGACCTCCATGTCGGCAACTAACTAATTTTTTCGAATTGCATCCAACAAAGTTTATACGGTTTGAATTGCATTTGGATCAGGAGCAAGAGTAATTGACTGAATTCGATCGCAAACACATGCATATATTTTCACATGACATGCGAACAGGTTGCACCAAAATCCATACATCGAGGATCAAGTGTTCTGAGATAAAAGTGCAAAATACACATTCAAATACGAAATAAAGTTGCTTGAAACGATTACCACTTGTGGATAAAACACCGAATTGTGTCTACGATTCTTGCTATTGTTGATCGGTTGAAATACGTGCGACTTCATTGGGATACACATCCGCAAACGAAAACGATCTAAATCATTTAAATGTGCGACGAAGCACGTTCAATATGTCATAGATATTTATTGCCGAACCGAAACAACCGTATGTTCATCGAAAAATTATTCGTATTTGAAAATGGTGATTTTCTATGAGATGTTAATTCCCTTGCATAATGTCATAAATACAATCGATTTTTTGCCTCTTTTTCACTCATTCTTCCTCCTTCGCTCATTCCTCCTACAAAACATATACAGTAAAGTACATCACTTACAACATTTGAAGTGCATTCATTTTCAATTTTGTTTACTCTCATGATGCATATATTGAGTTCTTGTTCATATAACATTATTTTCCATTCACATTATTTCGATTTAACAAAGTTTCGGCTTCTTCGCTTCGCTTAGCTTCTGAGAAGCTGAATGCATCAACATGTGCACTTTAGTACTTATTAAGTGCATGTTGATATTTTCGCTCGCTCTCTCTCTATCTCTCTCTGTGTCTCACTTGCTCGTCGTCATCATCGTCTTCGTCGTTAATCCGAACGAATCGCGCACACACAAAAACCATTCACAGCCTGCACTGAGAGTTTTTTTTTATTATTATATTTCCATAAATCGTATCGTGTATCGTGGCACACATGCGCCATTCACCCATACGCTTCAGGTTTTTTTGATGGAAAAAAATCGAGAAAAAAAAACACAAATCCAAAAGAAGATAAACATTGAACATACAATACGTTCGAAATGAACCAAATAGAAGAATAAATTTATTCTTTCTTTTATGGGCGAGCAGCTGTTACACTTTTTAAATATTGAACAACGAAAATGAAAAATAACAAGTTAACTGATTTGATATGTCTTTATGGTTCTTTCGATTTCTTCTTCAATTTTTTTTTTTTTTTTTTTGGTTTTTCGGGTTTTGTGCAGCCCATTTTATTTTGTGTCTTTTCAAAATATTGTATTTCAAGACATGTAGAGTGCAATTGCCGTGAGCATGTACCGAACCCGATGAATCAAGATAGCAATGTGTTGGATAGAGCGTATATTGTATTCACAAAAAGAATTGCCTTTGCCAATACAAAAGAAATACTTTGGAGTGCATTGAATTTTGTAACGCAAACAATATCGGTATAATATGGTAGAAAATTGAGTCGAAAACGGAGACCCAAAAGAATCTGTCATTATGACATCTCCAAACACATACACCGTTGTGAAAAAAAATGCAATTATAACGTGTTATTGTCATTTTTATTTTCGATATTATATGTTCAATTTGGACGATTCGCTTTTTGAAAAGACGAAATTCGCTTTTTCAGACAATATCGATTTTTGGGTTCATCTCTTCGTATACAGTTATTCAAAACGTAACTATGACGAATCAATATTATCGAACATTCAGCTCCATTTTCTGTGATTCGAAAAAGAAGAGAGCATTACTCATGCTGCAAAGATAAAGACCGTCTTTTATTCATATTAAATAAAATAAGTTCCGGAATCCTTTTTTTTTGCGTTTGTCCATTTTCGGTGGGGGTGCGCACCACGCCGGATACATTTAGACATTAGATCACAGTTAATTACTGTTTGTTGCAATCAATAGTAGTCACCAGTGAGAGATTGTGATCGGCATCTTTTGTTTTGGTAGAAATCACACAGTGTGTGTTGTTAGTTTTTGCGTTCGACCGAATGCAACTGCGAAGAAACAATTAGAGGCGCATGGACCAGCCATCCGTATCGATTACAGACAGAACCATTTCAAAGACGAATCGAAAACAATGAAACGAAAAGGAAACGAACGACGCAGTTGGTCATTGGTGCATATTACCATTACAATTGGCGACGAAACAAGGATTGTTCCAAATATCAGTATGCAACATCATTTTGTTGTCGATAGTAAATGTACATTAACACCATCCAGTCAATGTTGAACAGATTGGCAGTAGTCTCGACCAAACAACACCAACAAACATGCTATGCGAGTCTTTCAATAGCAAAAACGGCATTTGTTCAGCATTGCCGCCTTTCTTTATCTCTTTCAGTTTTTTTCTATGTGCTCATTCGTGTACATTCGGGTAGGCTCTATGCAACGTGTGTGTATGTATTTCTCTCTTTCGATGTTTTTTTCTTTCTTCTTCATCGTGCAGTTGTCTTCATTCCTTTTTATCATGTTTTGTTTTGTTTAACGTCCGTGCGCGCTTACATGTACCTTTTCGGGTTTCTTACCATTTTTTTGTTGTTGTGTGTGTGTTATTTCGGCTATTTTCAATGTGGATTCAAACAGTTAAAACAGCCTCGATGACTGTGTCATGCCATCAGTATCACAACACCACCACACCAAGGTGGATGCACATTTTGAGAGCACAGGACTTTGAAAAAACTAAATTAATCGTCACTTCACACTATTTACGAAGAAATTGGTGCATAAATTTTAAATTTCGTTCACATGCGTTCAGTTAAGTGTGACGCAGTTCCCCATCGAAATAAAAAGAAATTAGAAAAAGAAAAAAAATACAGCCACTTGTCAAGGACTTGGAGAACTACAAAAGGGGTCGAATACTATTTATCAAATTTTCCTTAATTGACTCAATAAAAAACGAACATTTCCGCTAAATTCAAATTTTGACGTAGAAAAAAATACGCGGGTACCAAATGAATTAAAGACGTTTCAAGTGTATCAATTCCAAAATACATTCCACTTTAAAAAAAATTCAAATTAATTTTTGAACTTGAACCACTGTGTGATAATTTATAGTGTGAAACCGAGCATATTGTGAACAAAAAATTATGTGCATTTCGATCATCAATATAAAGCGAATCTGTTGAATTAATTATAGTGAATAAAAAGAAACATATCTGAACATAATATGTGTGATTATTGAAACACAATGACATTACGATTGTGATTTGTTTGTGTGGGTGCATTTATGATAAATTGTGTTGCCACACTTAGTAAATAATTTGTATAACATTTGTTTGTCAGAGTGAAATTGATTTTGAATATTGTTATCTTTCGGAGCCAAGCTCATTAAATACGCAATCAAAATGATAATATGCATATCTGGATTCATAATTGGGGGAAGGTAAAAAGACGCCGCTTTATGCTTAATCATATTTAATAATAAATTCATATTGTACACCTCTGTAGATTAAAACGCATTCAATTGAGAATGAAACCGACAAACAATAAGACTCTTATCGTTAATTTAATCATCAAAAATGATTTAACACCTGCTTGTCGGTGCTCGCTTTCGCGCAAATACGTTTTGCTCGGAAATTTCGGTGAATCCACAAAGCGATATGCAATGTGTGTTTTCTCTTCAATCTCTTTCTCTGTCGCGGTTCTGTTTTAAAATTTTGTAAACAATAGCAAATTTTTTTTTATAATGGGCGACAATTCGATAAATGAATACAAAACGTGCTGGCAGCTTATAAACAGTTTGCATGTAAATATAGAAGAAAAAAGTAGCCAGTATGGATTTGCGTGTCGAAAACGTAAATCCGAATTGAATGAAACGATGGCGAAAAAAAAAACGTGATTGACACTGACGGACTGTGTGTGTTAATAATTTCAAAGTCTGACTCGTTTCGTTTGCAATCACAATTAGTTTGTATGTAGACAACGGTTTGGTTCGATCGCGCTAATTCGAGAAAATTTATATTTATTCAATTAATTGTAATCGGAAATTGATACCGACTCTTACCATTTGCTTGTCAATTTATTTAATTTCCAAAAAATAAAAAAATACATTGGCATTGAAGGAATTCTTTTACAGTCGTGTGTGTGCCGCTTTGTAGGCCACACCAATCGATAAAAAAATTATTTGGTGTGAAATTGCAAATCAAATTTAAACTAAATGGAAGTATTTTCGCTGTGCATACGTCTATTTAACCAAATCTGTTTGTGTCGATTGTGAGTTGATGGTTTTAATATTTTATTTACAATTCGAATTAAATCTGGGTTAGATCAATTCCAAAAACAATATGTGTCTGTTTACATTTGGTGTGTCTGTGTGGCTAAACAACACAAAAGGACGTGATCATTCATAAATTGGAAACATTTTATGAAATTGATGAGCGAATCAACGTGAATTCAAGCGAATAGACATACGCGAAAATCATTCATGCTTATGCAAATAAATATGAATGTCAAATTGAATCTTATCAGAAGACTGTGTTTATTTAAAAATCAATTCATAAGATGGATACATTCGGTTGTGAATGGTCTCTCTACACCGAATCAATATTCTCAGCATCATAAATTGGCATTAAATCATTGCGTACGAAAGAAGTATCAAGTGAAAATGTAAAATAATAAGATGAGAAAATTTACATAATCATGGCATGTTGTTTTTTGTGGCTGATTGAAATGTATTCCGAAAAATTGATTGTAATTCGTGTATTTTAATTTGCAATTTGTTTTGTATTTGCAGTTTTCCGCAGAAAGTCGCCGATCGGCCATCACCTGCATATGTTTATATGCAGCAACAGCAACATTATATACCGCCACCACAACAGGTGATGTATCAGCAAATGTGCCACCAGGTGCACAGTGGCAATGGACATCAGGCATCTGTTCATACGCTCAACAAAAAGGGTTCCATACGAAATGGTGACGTACTCAAACGGACACGAACACAAAATGGGTAAGTTCATTAACATTGTTTAATTTTTTTTTGTTTTCGTTGTTCTTTTTGTTTTGGTGTCTGCATGCATGTGCGTATGTAGACTGTGTGTGTATGTGCTTATTTGCACTGCTTTTTTTATTTGAACGATGCTCGCATATCCGAATACATAAATCCATTTGTCGTGCAACAGTCATTACGACTTAAGCCCTTTTTATTTTTAAGCCTGGCGCGTTGATATTCGCTCAACGAATTGCAATATGTATGGTGAAGGGACAACAAATGTTAAAAACGTCAGTGTGACAATAAATTAAATTGAAAAAAAAAAGATTGACACAAAAAAGGGCAAATGTTTTTCGGCATACAAGTTTTGGTAAATCGATATACAAACGACACATTATATTTATTTGTTTTCATTTGGTTCTTTTCAACGAAACATTCTGCATTCTTTTCCTCGTGTCATTTTTTGACACTTCCAATGTTTTAAATGAACCATTTTAACTATGCATACAATTTGATCTATAAACAACACTTATGATTTCTCAAGAGACCGCCTTGAAGCTGAATAAACAAACACCAGCGTAATAGACGCTTAGAGTTTGTTCGTCTGTTTTCGTTGCATTTCAAAGAGGAAGAAATACAACTAAAATCCTTAAAATAGACATGGATTTATATTTTTAGTTGCACGATTTGCCTAAGCGACAACCAGATATGACAGTTCAAGTGTACTACGATCGACGCACATTTTCAAATTTAGACCAAACCGAAGGAATGAACTAAATCATCTCGAATATTTAGTCTATTTTTTTCACACAAAATTGTATTTTCCGATTTCTCGACCAAGAAAAATCGCGTTTTTAAATTCGATGACATCAATTTGCTAGCATCATGTTTGCTAGACTGGTTGTCATATGCTCTTCGATCACAAATTTGTGTCAAAGTTCTTCAAAAAAAAAAAAAACCGAAAAAAAACTGAAAGAATCATAAAAATGTTAGTTCCCGTAATTTATGTTTAATTTGAGAAGAGTCTCTCTCTCTCTTGTCGATCGGACCACGGGAATTCATAATTTTAAGTCGCCAATTGGCCGGTAAACGATCGCATTTGCCTAGCCGCGTCAACAAATTTTTATCACAACCACAATCAAATTCAACAATCGGCTTATTCCGTATCAAACGACAAAACCGAATTAAAATATACAACCAAGACATATTATCAATACATTTATTCATAAAAACCGTCTCTTATGTCTCGTTCTCTCATTCGTTTCGCTACACAGTTGTACGTTGATTTAATTCGTTTGTTCGTTTGTATATCGCTGAGATTCATAACAAAGAATTATGCACTAATTTCAGTTTTATTCTTCATTTTTTTTCTCTCTGTGTGTCGCATTCACAATTCTTGGCCACGATGTGTCGCATTCAGAAACCGAATGAAAAAAAATTGAAATATAAATACATGTGCTTGTGTACGCGAGTGTATGTGTGTGTGTGTGTGACTATAGATCCGACCGTCGTTTCCGTCTCATAATTCTCGAAGTGCGAACGAATTAACGCACACAAATGAGCAAGGAAAATTTTTGTCGACTCTTGCTCTGCTCTCGCTCTGCTCTCACTCTCTGCCACAGAACACCAAGTGATGATATTTTCTTCTTTCAAGTTTGTGTTGTTGTTTTTTCTTCAGTAGGTTCCATTGCGTTTGGGTTTTTACAGAACCAAAGAGAAAAAAACACACATATTTCGAGTGAGAACTAGTGAGAGAACGGAACGCGACGTCAACGACAACGAAAAATTTCGGCTGGTATCGAAAAAGAGAATAGATCTCATCAGTTGATGAAAAGCGGCTCCGCCAAACACACATTAAAAACGAAAAAAAAAACCACACACAAAAATTAATTTCAAAATTCACATTGGAAATCTCTGATCAATGTACACATTAGAAGGGACTGCGGTTTATCGACGAATGTGTGTGATTTGTTTTTTGCTTCGTTCCCAATTTCGTACCAGTTCGGGCCGAGCGATAATCAAATTCAGCAGAATTGATAAAAGAGAATTATGAGTTTTGTGTTGTGTATGTTTTGGGTGTTTAGTTTTAATTTTGGTGCCAGTCGAAACAGTTTATGTCAAGAGCGAAACCACAGAACACATTTCGTAAACATATATTTGTGATTTTGATCGTTTAGTTTTATTGTTTTAATTGAACAGTGTTTTGTGTTCTTTGTTATTGAATGAAGAAATACAGAATCATCGGAAAACAAAGAGTGTAAAATCAGCAAAACGTTAATTAACGTGACGTATAATCCTTGCAAGTGAAATCGTTTGAAAAAAAGCAAAATCGTCAGAAATAAAACGCGCCTTTGTTGTTTATTATTTGTTGGTGATAGGTGTACTTTGTTGTCAGATCACGCATTTTCGCGCATGAAACAAACAAAAAACGCAAAAAAAAATTAAGCCAGATGCCAAAATGAACTTGAACTGAAACGAAATTTGAGCGAATCGCACATTATTGTATATTCGAAAGATCCATTTACATAAAGCAATCAAATTAACAGCATCATTTTTCTATTTTTACCCCATATGAATGCGCACAATTATCGTAAAGTGCAGAGAGTGTGTGAAATTGTGCATCACACAACACGTACCATACTGTTTTTTTTTTTGTTTCGTTGTTGTCTGTCTGTCTGTATGTCTGTATTCAGTGTTATATTGCGCGAATTTTCCGTGCTGCATTTATGCCTAACGAGGTAAATAGATGTGCAAAAGCGCCCAATTGAAATGGAAAGATGAAAGATTTCACATGCGAACAACTCGCCGAAAAAAAAAACGAAGAATATTGCATGATATTCAGTTATATGTTCATATCTCATTCAATGAAGGTTTTGTTTTGTTTTTTCTTTGTTGTTGTTCATTTAGCAACACACAAAAAAAGTAAGCAACAACAAATGCAATCTATTATGTGATTCAATAGTGGCACGTTTTAATGAATCACTGCGAATAATGAATATGTATGTTCCGTATGAGTGTTGCACGGCACTCTCTCTCTCTCTCTCTCTCCCTCTCTCTCTATTGCAACGAAAAATGGACCAGTTTTCACAAATGGGCAGTCAATAAATTAACGTGAAATAATTTTGAAATTCGAAAAACCAAACAAAGTTGAATAGTTCAGAAGCACACTCACACACTCATTTCCTCGTTGCTGACGAGATCGTTTGATACCAGCCAATAGATGACTTTAACGTTGGTTTGGTTTTTTGGGCTTGACACTTTATATTTAAAATGCAGTCAAGCCAGTTCAACCGAAATGATAACAGTGTAAACTTTAGCCATCCACAAATTCAGATCATCAACATTGTTTTGTGATTGTTTTGTGGGTGTTGATTTAATGGGCGCATCAGTTTTTGACGTCAACTCTCAACCCGTTCAGCATTGTTTGCAATCAAGCCGTTCAGCCGTTGTGAATAATCGCTTTTTATAAAAACAGCAGCAATGCGACTTTGTTTATGCAATATTGATTTTATATTAAAACCGAAAAAGGTGCTGACCATTTTGTGACGCGTGTTCCATCGCCAAATGTTATAACAATAACAAATGATATTTAAGCCAAGTCATTGCAAATGCAACACCACTGATGTCACAAAATCTATATGACGCATCGCAAATATCCATGAATTGTTTAGCCAATAAATAATTGTTTATTTATTTGATGAAATAAATGTGACACTATGTATGTACAATGTAATGATTCATTTCATCAAGGCGAAATATTGAACCCATTTTCACAAACGCCAGCAACTTTCATATTCTAATTTAGTCACAACGACATCGAAAATTGTTATTAAATTGTTTATATATTTCATGGTTTTTTTTTTAAATACTCGGTCGTTTGTTTTGATGGTGTGATGAGCTCGAATGGAGGAGCTTGCACAATTTTTTTTTTAACTGCGCTTTACCGCGCTTTATCTTTCTCTCTCTTGCTTTTTTAATGCGTTTCGCCATTTCGTCGCTGTCTCTTGCCTCAATTGATATGGGAGAAATTTTGTCAGTTGCTCCTGCAAAATATCGCATTTTGTTCAGTTCATTCGGTGTCAAAGCGATCACTTTTCAACAATCAACTCAATTCATGTCAACTTTTGACAGAAATGTCTATTTCCGTACAATATGGATTCGTTCGATTTTGATCGACATAACGCGATTGAATTTTTTAATTTAAATCCCTTTATGCACATTTTTTCAGCCATCGTGAATTGTTTGCTTTTATTATTATTTTTGATCGGACAATGACTTTATGCTAGTCAACGTATGCCTATATCGGATATATAGCATGTCAAAAAATATAAATGTATTTATAGTAAATTTGTAATTAAATTATGTTTAACGATGCCAAATATAAAACGTGCCTTACGCTGATATTAACGTCATCGAATTCAAATGCAAATCCATTTAACTATGAAAATACGACGGAAATCAGCGTTGACGATAGTGATGACGATGATGATAAAACATTCAGTCAAATCGTACCAGTGGTGAATGATACAAATTCAAGTGTTGAAATGAATCAATTGTCACACAAAATGAATCGGACTATTGTTCACAGCGAATCTTTTAATGAATCGTTGAATAGCAACGAAACAATAATCCCCATTAAGTGTTTGTCACGTGATGAAAGCAGTAATTCAGAAAAAATTCTAAATACCGATGCAACAACAGAGGCTAATAATATCAAATATTGCTGTACGCTTGAAGTTAAATTCGTATGGTATGAATGAATTTGGAAAACAAACGCGGCCAAAACTATTTGAACTACATTTTTATTTTACATAATTTTCATTTTCCTTTGAATCCAAACACATTTCGGTTTTTTTGTGTGCATTTTGAAAAAAAAAAAAAAAATTCTTTACTTTGAATTGAAAACACCCGAATTACGTGATTTTATTATGAGTTTGTGTAATTTTCTATTCCGACAGGTATGAATTATCGCAAGATTTATTAGATAAGCAAATCGAATTGCTGGAACGAAAATATGGAGGAATTCGTGCTCGCCATGCTGCCATCACAATTCAAAGAGCGTTTCGACACTATACAATGGTCAAAAAGTTTGCATCGATCACAGCAATGGCTAAAGCCGAAAAGCGTTTGAGCCGACGCTTGCCATTGTCCACACAACAAACGCAGCCACAACAACAACCGATACACAGCTCACCATTGGCGTAAGTATAATCCTTTGTCTTTTTTCTCTCTTCCTATTAATTTTCCGCACACCTAAAATGGTGTTTAAATGATAAATTGTAAGGAAATTCAATTTTTAATCGATTTTTCACGAAATTTATTTTGTTTATAGCGAGGATGTGCTTAGTTCATCGTATGTGTCAAATGTGAATGTAAGCGCTGGATCTGAGTCAGATGTTAGTATTGGTAGCGGTAGCCAAAATCGTAGTGCATGTGGTGGAATGGTAACACCATCCAGTTCACGTGTCGCACCAATTCGATCGATGTCGTTGCGTGAACGGCGCAGCATGGATGCATCATGGTCGGAAAATGCCAATCAAGTTGCAGAGAATACAAGTCACGTCAGTGGAAAATATCGCATTCACGGACGCAGTACATCCGGTAATGAATCGAATAGCCCAGTATCGAATGCGACCGCATGGACCAAAACCAATCAACATTCACATCCACATGTGAATTTATTGCATGCATCTGAACAACATTATCACAGTTCGCCAATTCAACAAAGTCCCTATCAGCAAATGCAACACACTCATCAATATCAACAGCATTCGAATTCATATTGTCAACAAGATATCAGCTTGAATTCCAGCTCACAAATTGACTCATCACACTCATCGATGAATTCATCGTGGAGTTCACAAAACCAAAGTCCAATGCAGCCATATTATTCAGCCCAACAGATTTATATGCGGCCACGTACCAGTACAGCACATATGATTCAACAACAAAATAGCAAACGTGTGCCACCTGAAGTGCCGAAACGAACCTCATCCATTACATTGCAACAGCGTGGTTATGATCCAACCGGACGTGCAATTCGGCCAAATGGGTAAGCTATTATCGATGTCTTGAAGCGAATTTTCGGTGAAAAAAACATTTTCCGTATTTCAATTTTTCTCCATTCGATTTAAAGATTGTGCAAAACAGCTGAAAATGGTAGTCTTAGTTCAGTTCAGTCATCTGGAAGTGATAGCAGTGCCGATCGCATGCATTGTGACGTTGGCTCAGATCGTTCAACATCACCGCAATGGAAGCGAAAAGGTAAAATATTCAATTTTTTATGGCAACCAAATAAGATCTTTTGCGTATAATAACAAAATTGTATTGTATTTTTACAGTTCAATCTCCAGACCATATAAGTTCTGGTTGTGCATCAGCCGATGCTGAGTATTTAAATTCACACACCAGCGCCGCTCAATATTCAATGGAACAGCATGAGCCGTTAGTCCCCACCACAAGCTACAAAGTATCCGAAACAATTCGTAAACGTCAATATCGTGTCGGTTTGAATTTGTTTAATAAAAAACCAGAAAAGGGTATCACCTATTTGATACGTCGCGGTTTCTTAGAGAATACACCACAAGGTGTTGCACGCTTTTTGATATCGCGCAAAGGCTTATCGCGACAGATGATTGGTGAATATTTGGGCAATTTACAGAATCAATTCAATATGGCCGTCTTAGAATGTTTTGCTGGTGAGCTGGACCTTTCTGGCATGCAAGTCGATGTGGCGCTACGAAAATTTCAAGCCTATTTCCGGATGCCGGGTAAGTTATAATTCAAGTGTATTCTATTTTTTTAATATCGATTTATTGGATTAATTGAATAAAACAACATTTTCGAAACCAGGTGAGGCACAAAAAATTGAACGTTTAATGGAAATATTTTCGCAACGTTATTGCCAATGCAATTCAGATGTAATTGCACGACTTCGATCTTCGGACACCGTAAGTTTTAATTTCGGATCATATTTCCCTTAAAGATTTATTTTATTTAAAAAAAAAACATTTCTTTTTTTTGTTTCTTCAATATAGATATTCGTAATGGCATTCGCCATCATAATGTTGAATACCGATTTGCATACGCCGAATTTGAAGCCAGAGCGACGAATGCGTGTCGAAGATTTTATAAAGAATTTGCGTGGCATTGACGATTGTCATGATATCGATCGTGACATGTTGGTTGGAATTTATGAACGTGTTAAAGCCAATGAATTCAAACCGGGCTCCGATCATATGACACAAGTGATGAAGGTGCAAGCTACCATTGTGGGTAAAAAACCGAATTTGGCATTGCCACACAGGCGTTTGGTGTGCTATTGCCGGCTTTATGAAATACCCGATATCAATAAAAAAGAACGTCCCGGCGTTCATCAACGCGAAGTATTTCTATTCAACGATTTATTAGTTATCACGAAAATTTTCAATAAGAAAAAGAATTCAGCAACATACACATTTCGAGTTAGTTTCCCATTGTGTGGCATGGTCGTTACACTTTTAGATGTACCAAGTAAGTGTTTTCACCTTTTTTTTCATCTAAATCATTTTTTATCTCGTCCAGAGCTGGTACAAGCACCGCGGACACTTTTCTTGTAAGTGCTGCTCTTTGTTGCATTCAAGTGCTTGAACAAACTGTTCGAATAAGAGTGGACACTCACTGGTACCCGCACTTCTTCGGTGCCAATAACAGCTCTGCGGTTACGCTGAACATTTATTATAATTCTTTTTTGACACATTTCAATCATGCTAAATGTGAATCTATTTATTTGAAATCGTCATAGATTATCCATATTGTATCCGATTGTCACAAAAAGTCGATGGTAAAATTTTAGTCACGTTTAATGCACGTAATGAACATGATCGTTGCAAATTTGCCGAAGATTTGCGCGAATCGATCAGCGAAATGGATGAAATGGAATCGTTGCGTATTGAAGCTGAATTGGAACGTCAAAAATCGGCTCGCAGTTCACGTAATGGCGGCAGTGCCAGTTCGGAGAATCGTGATTCAGGTATGTGTGTCTGTCTCAGTCTCCTCTTCCATCCAATTTATTTTCAAGCAATAATCGAAATGTGTCATTTAGGTGTTGCAGACGTCGAAGTTTGTCCATGTCCATATCAATCGCCACAAAATGAAACGCACACAGAGGCTCACTTGAAACGAAGTGCATTAAGTAACTCATTATTGGATATGCACGAGCAATGTAAGTGTGATGAACACTTCAATATGACAATAGTCTGAATTTGAAATATATAGATAATTAGGATATTTGTTGCGTCGGATGCGATCAAATCTAAGAGCCAGTTTTATTTTGAAATGCAAATTTTATTACCATATATACAAGAATATTCTAAACAAAACAAAAAAATAATGTTAAAATAAATAATAATATGATTATTTTTGGTTTAATTTTTCAAGCGTTGCATGTAAAAAATTACTCTGTCTTTTTTTCATTTGGCGTGAACAAAATTTAAATATTTATAATTTCTAATGTCATGAATTGGTTTCTGTTTTTATTTTATTTATTTTTTTGTTTTTGTTGTTTATTATTTTCTCTCTTAATTTCTTTATGTATTTCTAGGACGATGAGACTAATCACTTTTAGAAAAGTGTTAAACAATATCAAATCAAATAAATTGAAAAAAAAAAAAATGTTTGCAAATTGTGACGATAAATCGAAATGCAAACACAAAATCAATTGGAACATTTCAGATAATCGCCATTCAAAATGAATCTTAGAAGCCAAATTGAAAACATAAAACAATATTCAATTAGTATGAAAATGTGATAAATAAGTTTGATTATACAGCAATTAAGAGGAGGAGACAATTTTAAATTTTGAAAAAGAATAGAGGCTTACAATTATGTTTTGATTAAATGCAAACAGAAAATTATTTTAAATTATATGCACAACAACAACAGTACAGAACACACACACATACATTTTTTTTAAATTAAAAGTAATATCAGTTCAAATTGGCCAAATGTTCAAAGTTCCGATAATTCGAATTGAATTAGTGTCACTAGCTTTTTTTTGTAAAACAATATGAACGCCAATTTAAGCGTCATTCATCTTTTTACCATTTCTATTTGTATACGTTCTCATTTGTTTGAAAAAAACTCAACAACAGCAACTGTATGACTTTATTTTTAGTATGTTCATAAATTATGAATCATAATAGTGCATAATGTTCTATTTTCTTTTTATTTAAATGCAATTTAACCAATTGAACATTAAATATTTTGAATTAATAATTAAAATACATATGAAGTGTGTGTGTTCTCCTATAAAAAATTATCAAGTCAAATCAATACTAAAATTGTAAATAAAATAAAGTAAAATGAAAAATTGTTCGGAAATGGAAAAAAAATTGGATTGAAGTAACGCCTGTCCTGATTGGACAAAAGAAAATAACATTTAAATTTTAAAACTATTATTATTATTATAATTTATTTTTATTATATTTTCAAAATTCGATAAAATAATAATAAAAAAACCAAGAAAAAAATGTAAAAAAATATGATGATTTACACAAACACTACACACAATTTTTGACTTTAAACCATCACACACACATACACATTTAAGAAGTAAACAAAAAGCAGCAGATATTACGGGTTGATTTTCATTTGTTGATTCTCTTTCTCTTTTTTCTTCTTTTTTTTCTCTCTTCTGTTCTTTCTCGCATCGATTTGTTGTGTCTTGCAGTCGTCTACCGATTTTCTAGAAAAATGCCTGGTGTTATTTACTGAATATGTGATAATAAAGCGATTTAGCTCAAAACGATAGAAATTAAAAGAACGACAAACCAAAAATCACACACACACACACTCTCAAAAAGAAATAATTATGAAATTAGTCAAATTGTTCATCATTTTCGTGCCGATGGATGCATGTCTCGTTAGATATCGGCGCACCGTAGATTAGTTGTATTCCTTTTTAACGCTCATCGACTGAAATGTGATGCCAAACAAACAAAAAATTATATACACATAGATACCTGTTGTGTCAAGAGAATGGAGCTGCGCTAACGAAAGGGTGCAATGAACATAAATATTTAAGCAAATGAAATCAATCAATTTATCTAAGTCACACAAAACTGCGGCCCAAGCAAGTAAATATGATTTCTATCTGACTGTTTCTATATATCTCTCTAACTGTGTCTCTATTCACTTTCTTTATATCTTAAATATATATATATATATATATATATATATATATCGATTGCCTGCCTCCCTGTTTCCTTATTTATTTTTGTGAACAAATGGCCATTATGTCCACCTTTGATATATATGTATAAATCAGTGACCGGTTCGCGCATATTTCTATGCCTGATAGCTATGCTAAGCATAGCGGAGACGCAAGCCGCAACGCACCCGTCACCATTCGATTCGAGCTATATTGTATGCGCACGGTCGTCTGCATAAACGAACATGTGTATTGTTCATATAGAGTGAACGGCGATGCGTCGGTTGCGTTTGCGGCTATGCTTGGCATATCTATGCTACCTAGCGTATTTAGGCAAGCAAAGAAATATGCACAAACCGGTCACTGGTATAAATACTCCAAAAACACATTGACACACGCACATACATCGAACATCCACAGTCAAATATACGTTTTTGTTTTCTCCCACTTGTTAAGTACTCTGTGTAAACTCTTGTTAATCTTTAGAAAAAATGATTGC